TATCAAAGATTTTCTTCTTTACAGCACCATCTGGACCTCGGAAAACACGAATGTGCTTTGGAGCATGAAACACTCCTTGACAGGGCAGCGCTTGGTTACGCAGAGAGGCTACGAGGTCAGTCTGGTAGTGTACCACAGATTGAGCAAGTGAGAAGGCAGCTAAACCTCTCGAATCAGCCTTTTTTACCTATGGGTTGGGCCCTTAAGTCTAGTCACGTAAAGCGGACACGATTCACAGAGAAGCAGAGAGACTACTTATCCAGTAAATTTCGTATTGGCGAGTCAACCGGCAAGAAAGCAGATGCAGCCTCGGTATCCAAGTCAATGATGACTGCTAGAGACAGTAATGGAAACCGCCTTTTTAGCAGTTCTGAATTTCTGACGAGTCAGCAAGTTTCAAGTTTCTTTTCAAGACTGTCCTCAAAGCGCAAACTTGAAGATGACGAAATGACGGAAAGCGACTTTGAAGAAAACCAGAACGTTGAAAATGAGAAAGCCTTTGACGAGTTGAGAAGTGAAGTTCTTCAAGAGGTTGCCCTTACTCATCCAATATGCTATGACAGGTATGACATCTGCGAACTAATTGCAAATTCAAAGCTATCAATCTTTGCAATTCAAATGCTTAAGGATATCTGTGAACACTTTGATATACCAACAACGGACATCAAAGTAAAGAGAAAAGCCCCTTACATTGACAAGCTGATCGCCTTTGGAAAAAACTGCACTTGTCAGAAATAATTAAGATCGGTTTTGGTTAAAAAGGCATTGTAACAGCATTTGCGGGGGAAACCCGGAAGGCTTGCATGTGAAGAAAGAAGCACGAACTTGACCTGGCATAGTGGCCATACATTCAGCGAGCAATGACCCAGTTGTGAGCAGTGAAAACCCGATTCACTCAAAGTGTTTTTGTTGTGGACAGTTTATTTTTGTCTTTAATGGAACTGTGATATCGAAGACTTTGCAACCTAGAGCACTGAACTTAAAATAGCAAGATCTTTGACGATTGACAAACCGTCTTATTTTAAGAAATATTACAAGTTTTGGCTTCGTTTTCGCGCATCGGTTTCCCTACCCCCTCCAGGTGCGAATGATTTTGATCTGTCACGCAACACAAAAAGGTGTGAAGCATGAAGAGCACACCTGCCTGGCAGTTATTAAGAGAGGTCTATCAAGATTTCAGCTGTTTTAAGGCCTAGGATTTTTCAAATGCAAGGAGTATTAAGGTAGGATAAAGAAAGATATGCTAAGTTCAGTCAGAGGTTTTGAAATAATTCTCTTGTTTTCCCGAGTTGCGATCGTGGGTTGCCAGCCGATCCGGCACAGAGTGATCAGTTGAGAATAACACCAAATGAGGTATAAAAAGTGGCTTAAAGTTACTCAGAAAAGAAGGACACATTGGGGTAATAAATATTCTAATACAACGCTTTGAACAAGTGCAATTGCGAGTAAAGATTCTGTCGAAGGGCGTCAAGCTTTTGTGACTTGTCGAGCAACAACAAACCGATCGACGATCATGAAAAAGTCTCATATTTCAGGCGAAATTTATTCAACTTCAGAAGGTTCGTTTGAAGCTCAAATTAAATTACCCAAGCCAGTTCTTACATATGTTTCAGCACAACGTTTAAATAGCTTATAGCTTGAGTTTCAGGTAAAACCAAGGTGTAGCACATGCCTAAAATTTAAAACGCAACTTTCAGCCTAAATTTAAAATACGGTCAGTTGAAATAGAACCCAAACTAAATTAAAGTTGTTTATTTTCCAGATTATCGCTAAGATAAGAAATCACCACCAAACTAGCAGTAAAACCCTTAACAAATTGATTGACTGGTGAATATTTTACCCCACTTGCTTCCTTTTGGCGTGCGAGCGAAGTTTTGAAAACGCCTCATTTTGCCTCAAATTTGGTGGTTTTCCAGTCGCCGACCTCGAAAATTGATTTTGTCGATTTTCTCCTAATCGAAGCGGTCTTTTCAAAAACAAACTACACCACATTTAGTTACTTGCTAATACCTTACTATGGACAAGATATGAGCAAATTTTAATTTTTGACCGTGGCCGCCGTTTGTTCGATATTTACAGACATCTGCTCTTAATGTAATTTTTCCCGTTGCTTCTGTTTCTGTCCCGCCAGTGAGCGACTGGCCGCAGAAGACGGCTGTAATTCAGGTTATTGTTTTGGTGCAAGCGAGTCATTTGTGAGTAAAATATCTGTTTTTTCGAATATGATGTTCTGTTGGTTTATTTCTTGAAGCGGTTCCGTCCAGGTATACAACAGGTTTAAAAGGGATTTCTGAGGGTATTATGCCCGCGTTTTCTTCTTGAAAACCCCCAAAGTGAAAATCTTACTTATCATCCCTGATCATTTTTTTTTTGTCCCGCTTCAAAAAAACCTATTGCTTTCAATTATTCCACTTTCTGAAGTTAACTGGTTATTTGGTCAAGCTAAACAAATGCAAGAGGCTCTTAAGAATTTAAGATACATATTGGAAAACTAAGAATTATGCTTGTTACATGCTTTTGGATCTATTGATTAAAATGGGATACTATAGTCTTGTAGTCCACCGGATTTGACCAGAGGTCAGAGATCAACAAGTTTATGGTTTGTTATAAAATATCCTCTTGTATGGGATTTGATTTTACATCCGAATAATACTAAATTATTGTTTTTAACTCTGGGGTTGCCTTTAAACCAAAGGCATTGTAACTTTGAGAAGCACTTTTCTCCAAGTCTTCTCTGTGGGGACCCTCAAACAATTCTATTAGACAAGGTTTGGCCCAAAATAATAATGATTACTGCACTTGGCATGGACACAACATAAGTTTTCTAAAATTCTTTTTCATAGCCGGTTCTTCATGTTTCTATTGAACAGCACTTTCAAGAAAACAAAGCTCACACATCAGAGTAAAGATACAATAAAATTTATTTATTGTTACATTTTGTTGTTTGTAAATAAACATTTTATTTTAGGTCCTGACAGTTAATTCTTTCCGTATTACTGTTTTTGATTCTGACCTGCATGACTCGCTGCTATTGCTCACTGGCCTGCATATTATACACACTCTTTTATCTCAAAATCTTGTTTTTTTAACACCTTCTTGGACATGAAAACCAAAAACCAAAACTTAATTGGCATAATGAAGACAGTAGCAGCTGACATCGATTTTCAATAGTTATCTTGTGAGATGTCTCTCATGTATTATTTATTAGGGAGGATGATTTGTAGAAGACGATGCATTAACATAGATGCTTTTTCATCAAGAGAATCTCAATAATTTAGGATTTATTCAAATACACACATATTCGATATTATGACATCAAATGTGGGCTTATTGCTCATGCACAGGGATTGATGGGGGAGAGTGTGGCATTTTTCATGTTTCAGATTGACCTTTTGCACAGCACAGGGACTGAACATATTATGTATTTGGCATCTGTAAAGTATAAACAATATTTGACGCGAGGGATTGAACATTATGTAGAGAAAATCTTCACAAGCCTCCACTTCCATGACTCCTTCCTCATCTATCTCCTTTAAAGCCCCTTGAATAAGGGCCACAGTCTCTTCTATGGTTGAATGGTCATTGAGTGTGAGCTTCCACTCACAAGGTATATAAGCCCCCCCTCCAACCTATTTCCCTCTTACCCATTTTTGAAAGGGTCAAAGGAGGGGCTTTTGTGGTGGGTAAGCCTGTGACCACACTACAAAGAAACAAAAAAAACATATTTAATTTTATTGAGGTAGGGTTGAATTTGGACATTAAATTTTTCATTACAGTGGAACATAAGGCGAACCTAAAGCAATATTTTGCCCTCAGAGCACAAATATGTCGTTCTGAAGATATTTAGCATTTTGTCTTCCTGGTTCCTTTTCCCAGCTTTTTGGCACGAGCGCGACAACATGTTTGTAATATCTCCAGATGTTTGTCTACATTTTTGACGGAAATCCTGATCAAAATAAAAGAAATCAATATAAGAACCTACTCACACTGATTTAAAACTCATTCCGCACACATGAACTGGATCAATAAAGTGGTTTTTTGATGAGAGTCGCATACATTGCCGGTGAACACGACCAAAAACAGACCTGATCGATTATAACTAAAACTACATAGACAGACTAAGGCATAACCATCAATATCAGTAACCCTTCCTGTCCGTTGGCAATTTTCAATGTGTGGTTGCCATTTTTACTAGGTTGTTGCCAGCGATGAAACTTTGCCTGAACACACTTTAAACGTTGTAGTTTTGAGGAAAATTAGTCTTGACTTCGTAAAAATTCGGCAAGATACTGAAAACTAAACATAAAGTCATGTACTTACATTCGATGCCCGTCAAGATGGCGGCGGCGGCGTCGAAGGCCATTTGAAAACTCTCGCTTTTAACTACCGAAATGTGGCAGGAAACTTCCCTTGACATTCAAAAAGCAAGGAGAAGGCTTCTTCATCGGTACTGCTAGCTCGGAAGTCCCGGATATTGAACGAGGACACCTGGAAAAGGCTTTGAAAAAAGCTCCCTTGTTTCTTGCGATTATTTTTTCCTATTTTTGCGTGTTTTTAGCAGAACAATGGAATCATGACGTCATCGCTTCTTCCAAAACTGGCATACTCCCGAACTGATTATAGACTTCGTGAATTAGCCGTTGGTATTTTGCTTGACCTTGTGCCGTTCTCAGTTTGATAAACTTGAACATTCTGACACACATCGTCCAGCGCTAGATAACAAATTACTGATCAAGTATTCTGCAATAGGTGTGTTTCTAGCAAAACTTTTAACCTTTTCCGTTAAGGTTTTACAAAAGCGTCTCCCAAAACAATTAAATCCAGTCGAACAATACTAGAAATTCCCATGCCTTCAGTTTAGTGTCCTGTTGAACAATCAATGGGAAATGTTCAGTTTTTTCACAAGCACCCATTTGTTTAAAGTTGGCTTGATTAATGAAGACATAAACACTACTTCCATTTCTCCCTTAAAAAAAACAACGCTTAAGAGTAAAGTCATAATGGTCCATAGTTCTCGAGGAGGCGTAAGGCCGTACACTCCTAGCCACTTTTTCCTTTTCTTTACTTAAGTCATTCTTACATTATTGTTACTTTTTTGTGTGGAAATGTACGAGGGTAATAGCTATTGCTAATTCATATGTTCAAAACCCAGGGCGACGGTGTAGTGTTAACAAACTTACCATCCCTGTGGTGAAGGTGATGACATCACATAAACCATCAGCCATTTTTTTCAAATATTTCACTGCGAGTCTCGCAAGAAAAAGAAGGGGGAGTGAGTAAACCACTAAACTTACAAACTTAAGGTAATGTACATTTCTTTTCTTTTTCTTAGAGAGAATTGTTTGCCTTTGATGAAAAGTCACACGTATGGCTTGAGCCATTTTCAGCGCTAATTAACTGCATGTTTCCTGTGGAATACGTGTATGCGGATTGGATTGGCTGGCAAGCACGCAGCAGAGCTAGGTGTGCTACCCCAGAGTTTAAAACATATGTAAGTGAACGAATCAAATACACCGGAAGCCAAGTTGAAGGATTCTGCATACGCGACTTCGCAGAAAGAAATGATGATGTTGACCATTGTAGCGAAGTTTGGTGGATATAATAGATGATTGGAAGCCTGACTTCAAGGACGGTATGATGGTGGCTGACTCGTTCATTGAAAACGATGGAAAGGAACAGATACAAATATTCGCTGCCAAACACGTGGAGGAAGATCCAAGATACGCAAACGGTTAAGGCTAACAAAGGGAGTGGAAAGATTATCATCCTAATTTCAGGAATGTTGACTTTCTTCATCATGCGTTTCTTCTTCCCGATGCGTATCACCCCATGGATGGTCTGAAGCAAAAATCGCGCTTTAGAGTAAACGCCAATTTTTCGCACACTTTCCATGGTCCTGTTCGTAAATTAAAGGCCGGTGATTTTCTAATTTACGAAACTAATGAAACGACAGTTTTTACATACCCAGATGCGTGGCCTGAGGCAGCGATGGTTGGTCCGACCGTCCCCAAGTGGCTGGCCTTCATCTGAACTGGTGCAGGAAATATTCCAAACCAATTGCCATTTGGATCCCGTTGGCAGAGGAAAACGGCTTGAAGATCCCGTTGATTTCTACAGTTATTGTAATAAACCAGAAGAAGCCGTGGTTTGTTCTTTGGTAGTTCCGACAGAAGGTAATGAAGAAAAGAGGTTCATGGATCAAACCGAATTGCGTACCTCCTTTTCCTTGGCTGAAAATAAACTCGGAGAAAGTGTGTTACCCGTGCAACGGCATGTAATGGTACTACCAACGATGATCAAGAAATGATATTTTCCTTCTGTAATTTCAACGTCTTTCTTGAAGAACCTATTTTTTTTGGAGTGTGAGAAGAAAGGAGAGATCTTCTGGAGGGAGGACAACTCTGGAAGCTGTCTTTTATTCATGCTGGATCGTCTCCAAGAGTGCTTAGAGTCTCGCTGTTTGCCACACTACATCATGCCGCAAAGCAACCTCCTGTTGCATGAAGAGCCATCCAGTCTGAAAGAAGCTGCTGCTGTGGTCGCTGACGTGAGACGCAATATTTTTTCAAAAACATACAACATGCTGAGAACTGACGTCAGTTACTTGATAGTCAGTGTTTGCATAGAATATTTGGAACCTTTGCAGTTAGAAGACCAGATGACAACAATGCAAGAGAGAAACCTTGCAGTTGAAGATCACCGAAAGCTTCTAATAGATATATACTCGATTTTTGTGGGCAAGTGCAAGGAAGTGATAGATTGTCTGCTAGCGATGGATCGCCATGGCATCGAAGAGATGGTAAATGTGGCTTTGTGTGTTTACCAGTCACTACTTGGGAGAATCCTGTGCAAATTGTGGTTTCTGAACAACGAAGACGGCACCAATAAAAACGCTTTGAACGAGGAGAATTTTAATTCATTTGTCAGGGAAGAGATTGGCGGTCTTTTCACGTATGAAGAGTTTCTCTCTATTGCACATGTCTTCTTCCACAATACCAGAAAAGGGATAGAATCTTCTGTCGCAATTCCTATGACAAGTGCCATGTGGCAGTTGAGAGACGAACAGATAAAAATAGCTCAAGAAAACATTGAAGAAGCCAATGTAGAATTGAAAGCAGCGCTGGATTTATTTAAGTATTTGCAACAAACAAGTAAAAACATGAATGATTATGTGACAGAGGATGACATTAGAATGTCAGGGCTAGATCCAGAAGAAGTTAGAGCGTCAATTCAAGAATTAAAAATGCAAGGAACCATGAAGAATGTTGGGAGACCAAAAAAACACTAACAAACTAGGACATTAGGATGATGGGGTTAGATCCAGCAGCAATTAAAGCGTGCCTTTCAGAATTACAATATAATGCGAAGACCAGTGTTGGGAGACCAAAAAGAAACTAACAAAACACAAATGCAGTTGTAGATGAAGAGAAAACAATAGCCAAATATCAGCCAGAAAAAAATACTACGACACTTGGAGGTCAGGCAGGTGACATGCTCGGCTGGAGTACGATATATCCAAGTCTTCCATCGCAGGGTACCGTCCATTAAAAAGTATTTAAAACTTTATTGGCAGATAGTGACAGCTTTATTTGGGAAATGAAAGGAAGTAAATATACAAAGACCCTCGCCAAGATTTGGGTCGAAGGAATAATTCGTATATGAGATATCCGAGGAAATGTTTTACCCAAATTTATAGAGCTTTGTATGGAGACGCCATGCTGGAGCTCATCCGGATGAGCTCCAACATGGCGGAAGGAAACCAGCAGAAACATCTGTTACCGAGTTGTGCTTCAAAAGCGTGAATTTTCTCCTAGCGGAACTCATAAACATTAAAGTAATACTTTTTCTAATACTTGAACTGTTTAGATAGCAAAATTCCTCGAAAAAAGTCACTTTTTTAACCTAAATGACAGCTCTTTCGGCCTTCATGTAAATGCTGCGTCACGCAAAAGCTTAGAAATTCAAGCGTACTCTATTAAAAAACCAAGAACTCTTTTGAAGCGAAAATTTGTTTGAAAATTAGTTTTGGGCTGCTGTAATACACCATGAATACATCAGTAGGATCGATAGTTTTATAGTTTGAATTTTAGTGACGTCATGTGAAAACCAACAATAACGTTTTAGTCGTTTTATACAACTGACTCTTGCATTCGTAGTACCATAATCTTGAAAAATAACATGCAAGCAAAAACAGACGTGAGATAAAAAAATTCTTGGAAAAATTCAACATTCGCGAACAGTTTGGGTCGATTAACAGTGACACTAAAAGTGTCCAATCAGAGTAAGGGAACTTAGGAGTAAAAAGAAACACAGACCGCAGACAACTTGAGGACCGTTTTAATAGAGACTGCTTTGGAAAACCTGGGGCTTGGTCAAAACGTTTTTAAATGAACGCAGACTGCTGTAGAAGTATCGTAGAATTTTCTCCCACGCTACTTAAGGACTTGAAGTTAATTAAAAGTAGTCTGTAAAGGGATCTGTAGTTCTTCAAAAGCATTCGATTTTAAAACCATTCTCCTAGACAGATTTTACAAAATTGTACCAAAAAGTAAAAAAATATATATATCGCTTACCTACGAAAAAGGGCCAGTAAATCGATATTTTGTTTCTTGAAAAATGGTGAACGTCGCCCTCCGTCCGTTACTCAAAACCCCCGCATAGTACGTGCGGAGTCGTGTTAGTGGCTCACTGGGGTATGAAAATAATTACCGTATACCATCGTCCTCTTCCCTCACTCCATCGTAACGGTATTTTTAACACCAGGGACCAGTTTCTCGAACGTCCCGGTAAATCAAAATCTAAAAAAAATTGAAGTTCCTAGCTAATAAAACAGTCCATTTTGTTTTGTTAACTGATAGTTTTATTATGGAGTCTGTATAGCTATTGAAACCTCTGTATTGAATGTAAACAAAAGCAGCTTTCTATCGGGACTTTCTGGAATTCGGACTTTCAATTTTATTTCCCTTGATCTTTGACCCTTCATTTTCAATAACCCACATTATAACCTCCATTTTTAGGCTAGTTATCGGGGCTGGGCTTTCGAGAAAAAGTTCCAGACAATTATCAGACACTTGATGTGAGGTACCCTGAGATTCAAAACCCATTTGTTTGTAAAAATACTATTAAATAGAATATATTTTCAGTCTGACGTTGTAAATACCCGCGCGCTGTCTGAAGCTTGTTTTAATTTCAGTTGATTTGAAGCGGATAACTACAACCTCCACTAAAAAAAAAATATTTAGTTATATATTTATTTGTCTTTTTAAAGACAAGTTAGAAAAAAACTGTATGAAAAGTGAAGCAATGTGCGTGAAAACTACGAAGTATCATTAAAGGACTTGATGAGTTGGGCAATTTTTTCTGAGTATTTTTTTTTTCAGCACGACTAATTGCAACATTTTTCTTCACCAAAATAAGTCTCCGCAGGAATTTTTTACCATTCAATGTTATTTTATAATACCTAGAAAAAAAACCTTGGTCTAAATCAATATTCGAAGAGATTATTTTGTTCCAGAAGTATGCGTTTAAATCAGTGTCAGTGGTACCTTTAGTACTTGACGTTGTTTTATCGCTGGTTCCAGAACCAGCCAAAATGTGGTCCAAGCTTACCTCACGCTGTACTTTAACAGTCAAGCCACTAGGTGTACTGCTTTTTTATGTTTTCGTCAATAACCAAATCAAGTTTTTATTCAAAGTAACAGTGCTTTGAAGTAAATGAAGCTTGAGAGCATGAAGCCGTGTGGGTTGGCTGTACTCCCTTGGCAATCCCGGGGATGGTTGTGCCTCTCCCAGAGAAAAACAAAACTTAATATAATATATTCATCTGAAAATACCAAATGGAAGCACAGAATTTTGAATACATCGCAGAGAATGAAGAAACATTTTAAGTTGTTGATAGCTTTGGTCCGTTAAAAAGAAAGTTTCATGACATCGTTGTTGTTTACAAGTGCTTTTCTCATACCCACAAACATTATTGTGTATGCCATATTAGTAAAATCCAACTAGTGGTCTATTATCAATGCTGCGTTCTGATTGGTTGAGCTACAACTAGGCCATATGTTTTAGCCCACTAGTAGCGAAAAGCGCCGGCTTTGAAAACCTAAAACAATGGTGGCTGAATCGCCCTTTGCTAGCTAAAGTTGTTTTGTATCGATATTTTTGACCAACTAGTTGTATTTTACTTAAACAATTATTCCTCTCGCCCTCATCGGCCTCATGGGCTATTGACTCAGAGCCCATTCGGGCTCGTGGAATAATTGTTAAATATTCCTTATATTTTGTAAGTTGAAGAAAGAAAAGCAAAACCCTTGTCGATTGTTTTCAGCAATAAGTAGCTCAAAGTGGATGCAAAAGTCAAGCAGTGTTGTGATAAGCTTTTTATCCACTTCTGACGGAACTGATATGACAAAGAATATCACATAGTGGCAAGATGATGTGAATTTTTATGTTCCAGTGGCAAGGACAATATCACACGAGTGAGCCCACTGATCGAGTGATCATATGGTACTGTCCTAACCACGAGAACCCGATAAAATTAATATTTCTGAGCTGATGTATAGTTTTCGTTTTTTATAATTCATCAGCACCCGACCCCCTGGACATAAAGGGACATTTGGGGGATTTGATCCCGTGTTCGGTCTGGGGAGGGGGCAGCAAAATTAGAGGCCGTTTCTGTGTACAGATAAAATTGCCCGTTCGCGTAGCCGTAAATACGGGTAGATAATGGCCGTCTTTCATGTAACTTCGTGGCAAACATAGTCTTTTACCTGTACCCGTAGGGAGAAACGATGTATCATATAAAGGCCACTATTATAACAAAATACCTGTGCGACCCGGCACAGCGTTGATTCTATAGTACGCACATATTCTCCACTTTAGGAACAAGAGGGGAACTGGAGCCGAAATGTGTCCCGCGATTGTTCCAGGGATCGTTACTGGGGACGCGCTGGTCAGCAATTGGCCAAATGTTTTCCCTGTTGTTGAGCTCCAGACGTCTTTGGAAACTTGTTTTAACTTGGCCCAGATTATTATCGTTTCTAACGTGGCCAGTTGTTAGAAGTGTGGGTTAACATGAAGGACTAAAGGAAAAGCATTTGCTATAAATTAACTTATCAATCATGGAAGTTGACGAAAGTCTTAGTCCGGGAGCATATGCACTCCCATACGCATTTGGTGAAGAAAGCAAGCACCCAGGGGTCAACTAGGCTAGTTGTGTTCAGGGAATCTTAAAGAACACTTTTGCAACCCTTTTGTTACCCGCGTTTTGCGGGGTATTTTAGAAAACGACAAACGAAACGTCAAAAAACGACGTCAAACGCCCTGCATGGAAACAAGGCTGAGGTTAAAAGTGTATCATGTCTTCGATAAATGATTCAATTCCCCACATATTGTTAGTTAGGCAAGTAAAATAGTGTACGACCAAATGTATTGCTTTCTGGTCACGTGTGTGGTTCGATTCTTGTAAACGACCACCTCCCGTTAGCTGCTACTCAGTCTTTGTATTTTGGGTGGTCGCTGACAGGAGGTACGACTGTATGTTCACTGATTTGATCACTGTTTCAACAGCGTCTTGATCAGTTCACTTCTAAAAGTTGTGGTGTTCTTTGCAAATTTTTGCCCTTAATTTTCGCTTACTTTAGTCTCTTATTTTCCTTTTGGATAATAATAATAATAATAATTATAACGCGAATATTGATACAGGATAACCTATCAGTTCTAATAAAAAGAACTGTTATCAAAAAGGTCCTGTAATTATCTCATAAATACCTAAAAAATAAAGAAGAAAATCGAAAGAGGATAATGAAATAAAATAACACTAAGAAATATAAGATTCAAAAATCAAAATCTGTAAAAATTATTGACTTACAAGACTGAAAAGATTAGAATTAGCGTATATTGTGATCGTATATTGCGCATTTGAATATATTTATATAGATATTTGCGCCTTATAAGTTTTTGAAATTAATTGAAATTAATTAATTAATTTGGCTTTGGGAAGTTTTAGTGAACACCCATTGTTTCTGGTGTTAATATTATGTTCAATTTTTGTAAAACATCCTTTAAAAGGGGTACAGACGTTATCCTGAAGACAATTAAACACAAGGTGGCAGGACTGTCTCTTTATTAAACTCTCCACTGTCTGGACTTGATAATTTCCACTTATGACTTTCTGACTTCGACGTTCAATGCTTTCATTTCGACTCTTAGGGGAACGTGAGGAACAGAGACCCAAAGTTCCACAATACGTATATACAGGCTGAATCATTGCTTTGTAGATTTTCTCAGCACTGCTCTCGTCGATTAAAGGTCGGATTCTCCTGAGTAAATTAAATCTTCCAGCTGCTCTTCTATACATTTTGTCAAAATGTGATTCGAGATTTAAGGATGAATCCAAGTTTACACCCAAGTATTTATAGAATGACGTGGTATTGATCAGTGTTCCATTTACAGTCAAAGCTAGTTGTCTTCCATTCAATGCATAAAGCCTTTTGGCAGTACCAAAGATCAGTTTTGCCCTTTTTTAGATTAAAGACAAGCGCATTATCACGAAACCAAGAAGACAGGTTGTGAAAATCTTCACTGAGATGCCTTTGAATGGATTACAGATCTTTAGCAGCCGTGAAAATTACTGTATGATTGAGGTTGACTGAAGAGGCGTATGCACATCATTAAAATGGATAGTAAACAATAGCGGTCCCAATATACTTCCCTGTGGAACTCCAGAAAATATGGGATTGGCATCTGACAAAACATCTTTGAATTGGACTGATTGCATTCGAGAAAACAAATAATCAGTAAACCAATGAAGCTCCTTATTGTTAATTCCATAAGATGGCAACTTGTTAAGAAGGCACGAGTGACTAACAGTGTCAAATGCTTTTGATAGATTGATAAAAACAGCACCCAGGATGTTTCCATTGTCAACTTCTTTCCTGATTATGTCCGTAAAATATGTAACTGCTAGTTCAGTGGAGCGTTTGGATCGAAATCCGAACTGGAAAGATGACAGCAAACCTTTATTCTCGAGGTGTGACAACAACTGTTTATATACAATCCTTTCCAAGATCTTAGGCAATACTGGTAGTATAGATATACAGGGTGTCCCAAAAGTTCGTTCCTCTAATTTCATGCGCTATAACGTTTGATCAAACTATATTCTGGCATGAAATTTCTAAAAGATGTTTATTGCTTTATTGAGTACATGTATTCAGAATTTTAGGAACCAGCACACCACCTTTTTTTATCACATTCCGTAGACAGTATGAAGAGCCACATATAATCTATTTTGAGCCTTTTTATCACCTGGTATGCGCGAGCCACTTCTCCACTTCGACCCCCCCCCGGGGGGGGGGGGGGGGGTCCCCAACAACATTATTTTAGTTTAGGCAGCTGAAAAAATATACTTTAAGCACTTATCCAAAAAAAGATAATCATCCCAGCCCCTATCCAGAGTAGCTTTTGTTCATCTTTACAAATTTGAGACGAGCTGATCGTGTTTGGCAGACTAAGAGCTACTGAGCAGAGGTTTTGTTGTCATCTCTGGGGCTTCTAACCTTCGCTTTTCATGAAACTGCTCTAGACTTGAATTGCTAACTATCGTGAGAGCTATCTCGCTGAGTATAGTCTCTTTTACATCTAACCTTCTTCAAAACTATTTTAGCCGTTATATTCAGGACTATCAGTCTTCCCCTTCTTTTTTTGTCTTTAAAACCTTCATTTCTCGAAGACAATTTCACCAACCCAACATTCGGATTTTTCCAGTTTTTTAGCAGTTATTTCTACTGATAAGCCGGTAAATCGAAGTAAACATGCTTATGTCTTATGAACGTTTTTGCGTTTAGAGGGTTTTTTCTTTCATGATATTCACAAAACACGACTTGAGGAAGGAGTTTGAGCAAATTGGGCTACAGAATACGAAAAATATGTGGAGGGAAAATGTACTCGCGCACGCGCACCTTTAGTGCGAAGAACACAAATCGAATATTAGAGTCACAAGATGGCACACCAAGTATCAAATATCAAATTATATTATGAAACACAACTTTTGTTTAAGCGATTTGCTTACCAAGTCCAATCGGACTACATCACAGTCTTATAAAGTAGAGGAGCGAACTTTTGGGACACCCTGTAGGCCTTTAATTGTCAAGCTCAACCATGGAACCGTTTTTGAAAAGCGGTATAACCTTGGCGGCTTTCCATTCCATGGGTACTGAACCAGACTGCAAGGATAAGTTTACTATGTAGGCTAATGGCTTGGTTATAACAGTTGATGCATCCTTTAACATTCCAGGGGGAAGATTATCCAGGCCGGTCGATTTATTTCTTTTAAAATTTCTCAGCTCTCTGAAGACTTCATCATCGGAGACTGAACTCATGGCTACAAGCAGTCCTGCTCAAGAAAGACAACTTGTCCCGATGGAAAGTATGAACAGGAGACTAGACTCAATTTTAAAGAGCAAGAAGAAACTGGAAGGAACAAACGCAGCACTGCAGCAAAAAAACGTCAAGTTGCGAAGTTAACTCTCAGAACAGGAGAGACTTAATAATACCACACGCGGCTCAAAACGTTCTCCCACACTATCCAAAGTGGAATTTCTATGGATTTAAGGGTAAGTTTACTTTCTTATTGTTGTGATGCTATAAGAAATGCTTTTGATCATGAGAGTTTGTGCTTATTCTTTAGAGCTGACCGTTTGTTAGCGTATCTTCAAAGGCGCCGACATGCCTGCGTGCATGGTATTAAGACATTACAGGAATCTACAAGCCCGCATTGTCTGCATCTTTGCGCCCAATTTTAGTCTTTTAGAAGTGGGAACATACATGTTGATATGAAACTGACTTCGGAAGCGAAAATTCAGCCAGCTATTACAAGCAGGGAAGGTAGTTGCTTTTGAATTTTGTCGCCATGGTCACGCTCTACGTCCAATTTTTATGCTCTGATTGGTCAAAATTTGACAGTTGAGTTCATGTGGAAAATTTATGCAGGATCTGGAAGCTTGTTTACTGATAGCTGAAGCTGACAGCGTTTTGTGTCATCTGGTGATGTTTTTTACTGTCTTCAGGGGGGCCTGGCAGCGAGGTCTGGAACCGAGTTTACATGATCGCTCTAGTTAAGAAATTTGGCCGAGTGAGGCTGAGTACCGATTTTCCTTCAAAACAAATATGGCGGAGAATGGAAGAGCGATGAGTTTTTGCTCGTTTTTTTTTCCCGCGTGCAAACATCAAGAAAGCTTTTCATGAAATTTTTTAATGGAATTTTTGGACATCAAGAGGCATGATGTACATGTATGAACGGTTCATGGGTGACTTTACTTTTCGTGATTCGGCATCTCGGCAAGTTCAGTTATTTATAAGCTCCGTGAATTTTACGAGCGACCAGCCTGCTCATTCTCTTATATTTTTCCACTTACAGCGGTGTTAAGACTCTCTTTTTTATCCGAAACATATGCTACGAGCACACTACATTAGTATGAACCTTGCAACAGTCATACGTGAATGTTCATTAAACCAATTTTCTACTTCGCTGTTCGTAAGTAAAGTTTGTTTGTCTTCATACACCACAAGAGATATGTTTGGGCGTAAATACAGAATACAGGGCCAATATAG